TCAGCAGGAGATATTTTTAGATATGTGGCCCACAGAGAGGCAGCAATTCACACTGCTACTAGGGTTGAGGATAGATGTAATTTATCTGGAAGCTGAATATACTGGATGAAGAAACTGAAAGTTTAGTTACTGAAAATCACTTTTCTGCAGTGATAAAATAAAAATATGCTTCACTTCTGCACTCAACAGTGACCAAGACTATGTTTGCTCTCTTTAGTCTGCTAAGTAGTGTTTGTATTCACAAAGTGAAATCAGCTATATCTGTGAAGAGGCTGTATTTATGACAGTATAATATCTTTAAATAAGTGAATTAATTAAAAACAAACAAGGTTCAAATAAAAAGGTTTCCTTCTCAGGAACTGTGTGGACTCAGAATATTTTGAGCTTAATATTTCATGAAGGCCACCGTAATGGAACAGAAAATATAGCGCTAATGGACAGAATCCCATGGCTGGAATACAATATAAAAAACATGGATTACTCAGCTCTTCCTTTGCCTCGTCTTTTTGCCACCCACCTGCCTTACAACTTAACTCCAAGAGACCTGAGAAACAAAAGAGCACATGTAAGTGATGTTATTTTTACAACTTACTGAAAAACAGTAATGATAATTTGTCCCACTGAATTGGTCCAAAACCAACCTTTCCCTCTTTAAGTTTCCCTTAAATCTGTATAAATATCATCTGCTTTGCATATTTGGGGAAATTAGGGACCGTCAAGACCCCACTTCTTCTGTTTCTTCTTGTGTTATCTCCTAGCGCTAACACTGTTATGGAGATGGGCTCGTGCAGCAGCACATCTCGGAAGAATCTCCCATGATCAAAGACTTGTACTGATTTCATCCCTGTAAAAATGTTCGATGCCAGTGGAGTTATTAGTTTGAAAATAAAGTCTCTCACACTGATAACATGGGTAACACGGGACTACAGTAGGTAGGGGGTGAATGTGAGAACTGCCTCTGCATGTTCATCAGTGCCAGGGAGTATCTGAATAGGATTTTCCATTGTGAATCATATCATAGCTCAAATCCTGTCTCCCATGGGGGTGGGGGGGGTGGGAGGCGAGAAAGAAAGAAACTCAGAGCCAGATGAGACCAGGCTACTACACCAAGGCGCACTTGCAAAACATGGGCATAAGGGACGCATGAAGATGCATGGTATCTATATATAGATCTAATAACACATGAAGAATTATCTTCACAGCCTCATAGCAAATTCTTACTTTGCTGCCTGGCAAAGTATGCCATAATAAGATACTTCTGTTACTCTTTCTTAAGGCACTCCCAGTGACTTTTGCCCATTCTGTCATTATTTTTGCTGCAGAGCTTCCTGTGGCAGAGTTCTGAGCACAGGAGCTATGGAAACAAGCTCTTAGTGCAGCTGTGATGTTCTTCACACATAAAGGTGTTGTGGAAAACTACAATATTCTCACCATTTGCTTCACAACACAAGTGAAGTTTGGAAGAGAAAGCTCACACAGAAAATAAGGTTTGAAATCCAAAAGGATCTCCAATGAAGAATGAAAACATTGTTCAAACTGCATATACAGCACACATCAGAAAGTACAGAAATTGTTGTGTTTTCAGGAAAATCTTGTTTGTGTGATAGGTCTTTTCCCCTTCTGCTCAAATATGTTGTTCAGGTTGTTCTTATTTATACCAAATTACAGAATAATTGTTCCTGTGATTCAGCTCGTAGCTTTTCAGTCAGGAGTTTGCTGAGTTTCCTTGTAATAACTTTAGAAGTCCCTATTGATGCATATGGAAATAATACCTTGGAAGAAATGATTTTGGTTTTGCTAAAGATAATTAGATTGCTTTCAGTTAAGGAGGAATCTAAAGTAGTAAATTTACTCAGCTTGAAACCCAACCTGAGATCGTGATTTTCCTGTCTCTCCTTGCAAGCATCTGTAACATCATAAGGCACATCATAGTGTGCCAGGCTCTATTTTCTCTCCCTAAACAGACAGTGATAAGAAGCAGAAATGTAGCAGAAGCACGAGGCAGAGCACGAGCTCCTGTCACGAGGCAGGAGACTGCCCATCTAACTGGTGGTACCTCTTCTTTGCCTGAGGCAGCAGCTCTCGTGTGGTGAGAAGTCAGCGGAAGCCAGAATAACCCCTGCTCATAACAGATCCTCCTTTTGTGAGGATGGGCCTTCCTCTTACCTGTTGTTCAAACTCCGCCTGCATGCTGCCTCTGGCACCTGCTTCACAGCCTAGTAGTTGAGATCACTGATGAGGCAGCAATGTACAAAAGCTGTAATTTCCAAGAAGTTCTTGTTCATTTTATAGTAACTGTAAGCAAAATTTGAAGATGAATCAACTTACAAGAAAGTCAAAATGATTTTCTAGTGTTGTTCTTGCACGGGTGACTGCCTTGCGCAGAAGAACAATAGCACTGACACCTGTAACACTGATCCCATGAAGATAGTTAGCCATAGGCATTGAAGGACTTCAAAGGGAAATACCACTAACTATAACTATAAACAAAATGATAATGTAACATTATCTGGAATTTACTTAACGTTTGTCTTCTTCAAATTATTTTCACACATTTTATAGTGGGAACTGTAAGGATAGCTACAGAAAACCACCCTGATGGTCAGGGTAATGGAGCCCTTTAATATGTTTGAGACTAGTGTTCTTTTTCTTTTTACAGGTTATTTATGTTACCAGGAACCCTAAAGATGTTTTGGTTTCTTATTTCCACTTTTCCAAAGTCGTGGCCACAATAGAGGAAGTATCAGATTTTAACCTTTTCATGGAGAGATTTTTAGCTGGCAAAGGTAAGATGTTTTTTCTGCTAAAAAACTGAAATCCCATTGCCTTATCTCAGTCTGAATAGAGATTAATTGTATCAATAAATATCAACTACCCAGAATCCTCAGCCATGCTTTAACTTCATTCCAAAGCTGCAGAGGCTGTTTGAGCTTGACACAATTTTCTGTTTGTAAAGCTGGTCTGAAGGGAGTAGTATAGTTAAGGCTTTGCTGCTCCCCAGCAAAGTGCAAGTTGCTTATTTTATCTGAATTAGATACTAACTCAGAATATAACCATTATGACTGAGGATCTCTTTAAAACTTTCCACATTTGGTTAGTTGGGGTGAACCTATGAGGATGGCCATCATACAGAGAGGATAGAGAAGTAGTCTTCTGCTGGAGTTAAGTCCAGATTACCAGAATCTACAAGGGTTTTGCATCATTAGCCTAGAGGATTGTCACCCCAAAACTGTCAGCAAGTATTCCTCAAAATATCAGAAAATATTATCTAAAAAATAACCTTTCCAAAGACCTAAAAGTATATAGCGGATTTTAAGTAACCTCTGCTAAGATTTACATTGTATGGTGTTGCCATTCCTTGTAAAGAGCCCAACTAATTGTGCCTGTGTGAGCACAGCTACCCTCTGAGCCTCAAGGGAAAAAAAGAAAATGGAAAACACTGAATCTTACAGTTCTGTCCTCAAAAGTACTAGAGGTGCCCCCCTCAATTGATAATTTTACTGTTTTTCTGCTGCTAATAGCACTTCTGTCTTTTTTTATTATTTCCCTTGGTAAGTACTTGCCAGTTCCTGGCTGGATCATGTTGCAGGCTGGCACAGCCATGCAGAGGATTTCAATATACTCTTCCTTACCTATGAAGAAATGAAAAAGGTAAGGTCAGTTAATATCTGTTGAGTGCATTTTCAGATTGGCCTCTATGACAACAGTTCATATTGAAAAGTGTTTACTCCCTTGTGGAGTAGATGCAAACGGATGAGATTTCTGAGGAAATAAAGTCATTTGTCTCATTGGTGTGAGGTCTTATCAATTGCTATGAAAGTATTATATAAATCATTTTCCAGTATGACGGAAGTCTACTTCACTGCCATGCCAAAAACCTTTTCTGAAACAATACAGAATAAGATTTTTCACAAGTACCTTCAATAGGAATTTTATGCTAATAAGGATAGAGATATCCTTTCTAGCCACTAAAGGATAGAAATGCTTAAGAGGCAGCTCTAAGGTTACTTCTGGAGCTCTCAAACTTCTTTCTCTTTCCTGCCAGTGACTGACCATGCCTTTCTGTGATTTATCACTTCTCCAAAGTGGCTGCTCTTCTCCCGTCCTGGGCAAAGCCTGGTGATGGCAGTGCAGCCCAGACAGTCTGCACTAGTTGTTCAGACTTTGCAGCCTGGGGTTGCTCACAGGAGAGTCAAGCCCTTTGTTAAGGCAACAGGTCTAACAAAACCCTACAGGTTAAGTCCCTTCCTTTCCAGTTATGGACTCTTCTAGGGGATGCTTCACCAGGGGATCTAACGTAAGATGCACATGGAGTATACGGTATGGAGAGCAGAATGCAAATTTCCCATCTCAGACAGCACTGCCCTTGATTGCTCAAATGATGCAGGACTACTTTCTCACAAAAGTGATTGTTTGTTTTGCACCCAAATTTACATCTTTTACTATTCTTTATTCTACTATTTGGTTCTTTGTACCATCAAGATAGTTTTAAAGTAATATTAATTGCAGGATCTCAGAAGTGCTGTGCTGAAGATCTGCAACTTCCTAGGCAAGACACTGAGTGAAAACGAATTGGAAAGCATTGTGCGACAGGCTACATTTGACAATATGAGAAAAGATCCCAGGGCAAACTATGACAACCTGCCAGAAGACCTCAAAGGGAAAAAGAAAGGTCATTTTCTACGCAAAGGTAAAGTCGAAGCAGTATGATGCAACAAGTATTTAATTCCATATCTTTTGGCTTGAGATTAGCCTAGGGTTTCTGGTCTCAGCTGGAAAGTCCTATTTTCAGAGGAAGAATTCAGGTTAGCGGCAATTAAGTTTATCAGACCAGTTTTCTTGCCAGAGCATCAGCAATTTTATTATATTTTTCTAAGCATAATAAAAGGGCAATGTTTTCCTGATTGCAACACAAATTGTCATAGTCCTGTTATGTAAAGTAAGTGGCCCTAGGGTTGTACAGGTGTAGGGTGTAGTCAGGGGTAATAGGATGCTTTCTTACTGGAGGATTGACATGGTTACGATCAATTGGCTAAATGGCAGATGGCTTTCAATGGAGAGGAGAGCCTCTCCCAAACAGAAAAAGATGCTTGTTTCAGGACCTCTAAGGGAGTTATTGTCCAGGGAGGACAGGAAATTTGATTTCTGCACTGTGAGTATACCAGGAGAAGCTGTTTAAGATTGAAAATAGTGCCAGCTTACAGATTTCCTTCACAGACATACTGGCTTTTACTTTTCAAGGCAAGAGTTGTCTTTACACTGTGAACACAGACCTTCTCAACCAACCGCTCTCAGGGTCCATAAACTTCATCCCCGATTTATGGACGTTGCCAAGATTTTCTGCTGCTCAGTGTAGCGTAAGACCTTCTAGGGATTAAAGAGTGTGCTGTACTGAGAGCAAAACAAAAGGCAATACTTTTAACACTTCCCCAGTTATTATTTGATCACAAAGGAATCAGTAAACACCAGGACAAATGAGTTGAATAACTTTGCAAGGAGGTAGAAGTATAGGTCTATGGTGCATTTTATTCACAACACCTATTTTTGCAAGCTTGCCATCAAAAGACCAGAGCCTCACTCAGTAGACCAGGCATAAGGCAGAGGCTGACTTAAGCAATGAATTGCTTCCCCAAACTAGCAATCACTGTTTGCAGGCAGGCTTTCTCGACAGGTATGCATTCTACTTCTTACCTCCCTTTACTGCATCTTTCCTCAGGCACTATTGGAGACTGGAAAAACATGATGACAGTAGCACAGAGTGAAAGGTTTGACAAAGTTCTGAAAGAGAAAATGAAGAACCTGCCCATCAAATTCATCTGGGATATTAACGATGAAATGTAGGCTGGTTTCCAGTTTTCATCATCCTTTGGTGCTTATAGTGGATGGACATATTTGAAGTTCTGGAAAAACAAAACACATCAGTTTCCAGCTGTGTTACAGAAACAAAAACTATGTCAGCTCATTCACAAAACACTACTTGTCCAAGGAAATAATGCAGTTACATCAGTTTCCTGTTTGCAGTTTTGCAAGCTATTTCTGTTAACTTTCATAGTATACTACAGCTTCTTTCATGCTTGCTTTTACTCTCACTGGCTTTTAATACCACCGGGGCTGTAGATAACCAAGTAAGGATAGATCTTGATATTGAATAGTGCTAAAAACTTTCTGAAACAATTCACTTTTGTGTTTCTTGAGGCTTTCTTTAGTAGAATCTTAAATGTCCAAACTGGAAATCACATGGACCAACTCTGGTATAGTTACGCTTTCATATGATTGCGTTCCTTTTCCCTTGGTGAACCACAAATACTTAACTCTTTGCTGGTAAAGTGGCCTTCACGTTACATTCTCTGATGTTGCCTATTGACCAAACTTCATTGCACTGTCTGTTATGGTTCTTAAGATCATGGCTGACAATCTGCTACTTGAAATTTTGAGGAAAAAAAGAAAAAAAACCATAGCAATAGCAATTTTCAAGTGAAAAAGTCCTCTCCTTTGTCCTCGATTATCTGCCAGACCTATTGATGTAAAAAGCTACCACTTATCCAGACTACTACCTTCCTCATATATGCATTGACTCACAACAATGGCTTGTCGATGATGCAACACTAAGGTAGCTTCTCCTACGGGCTTCCTCTGAGAAAATGAGAACAAAGATGCATGTCGAGATTTTTTCTATCAACAACTCAAAATATGTTTGCAAACAACTCCATTCTTCACATGTATTTGGTCTGTGATATATTCATGTTTCTAGACAGTAACGTTTTTTATGCTGCTTGCAGAGGGAGGTCTAAGTCCTGCATATATATATATAAAAAAAAAAAAAAAAAAAAAAACAATGATACCTGTTGAAACTACTCACAAAACAGAACTTTATCCCTCCCCACATACACACTGATAAGTTTGTAAGTCCCTAGCATTTTTGTTCTTCTACTAATCGCCTATCCCTTTCAGCATAGCCTCAGTCCGGAGGGCACAGAAAAAGGCCGTTATTTGCAACAAAATGTTTATTTCCCAACTCTTTTCCCAGACACCAACTACACTCGTGAGGAAAGGCAAGTTTTGAACACTCATCCCTGCTTATAACTATGAGGTCTACACCACCATACTAGGGTGGAATGCTTTCAATTGCTATTGAATCAGTGTCCTAACAACCGAGCCAGAGCAGGACATAATTTCTAAATTCAAAAACATTCCAAACCATCGTTTTGACTTGACAAAAGCATCTAACCTTTGTTTTCCCATGAAATGTTTGAAAAATATAAAATTTCCTTAGAGCTCATACCCTGGCCTAGGATCAGCTATTTCCTCTCATTTTCAATCCAGCTATTTTAGCCTTCTGATACATTTTAGCTGCTTTTTGCTGGACAGAATTACTTCCTGCACAGCATAACGTGTCGTAATGATAGCTGCTTCTATTAGACAAAGCCGACTTTGTATAATTAACCTGTAAGAAGAATACTTTTATGTCACTCAGTAGTATAACCAGATCATCTTTCCTTCTGGAGACTTCACATCTCTGATAAAAACAAAATAAATTACAATACAAACTTGCATGCCCTATGTGATCACTGCGCCCTCAGACACGTGAGTTTGAACTTCCCAAAGGGTACTAGGGATCTTCTCCACATGTACATATTTACACTAGCCACAGAAAATGTAAAGCTAGTTCAAAGTCAGAAGCTTAACGTATACCTTTTGCTGAGCACAAATAGTAGAACCTTGGAGTAGAATAGGAGAACAAGTAGGACCTTGATCTTCATTCTTTTTCCAGTGGCAGACTATCTACAAGTCCCATCATAACAATAAAAAGCCCCAGTAAAACCTCAATATAACCACAATAAAGTAATAAAATTCTCATACTACACACTGTGTACATACTGTACACAGGTACTGTACACAGTACATACTGCGACTGCTACGTGACCTCAGTTAACGCTATCAGTAGCAGAAAATTTTACTAGCATTCAGCGCAGAAAGTGAAACCGAGTTCAAGGCAGTAAGTGCAATTACTTCAGGGAACTATATCTGAAAAGAAGTAGTTCTGTCTCTCCTAATCAGAGCCCAGTTGCAAAGTACTGAAGGGAGAATTTTAAAAAGGTACTTCAGCACCTCTTAGATTTTGCAACACAAGGCTCAGAGCAGTCATTTGACAGTTCTTTCCCTCAGGATCTAGTATATCAGTATCTTGGATCCAAGCAGTCTCCCATTTGGTCCAATTTATTTCAGCAACTATGCAGTCTGAAGTACAGCTACCTAGGACACATTGTAGCCTGCTGGTTAAGAGTCTCCTAGGAAAAAGATTGAAGTTGAACATCCCAAAGTTGAATATCCCGAAGGAATTGTAAAGCTTTGGCTCTTGGCCAAAACACTCTAGGCACTGACTTGTTTAAAAAAAAAAAAAAAAAGGAGTAGCATTTCGCCAGCAGGTTTTGTTTGTTTCCAAGTAGGTGGGGATGATAATTGCTTTTTTGTACAAAGCCTAGTCCTTGCAACCTGTCAGTTGT